TCAGCTTCGTCGAGACGACCAATAACGAAGACATCCTGACTAACCTTGACCTGCTCGAGGAACGGCGAGACGCCGTGAAAGTCTGGGAAGCCAAGTACAAAGAAATCCTCAGGAAACACTATAATAAGCGAGTCAAGAGCACTGACCTCGCAGTCGAGGATCTAGTACTCAGGAAAAATGAGGCCAGTCGAGCAGAAGCCCAAGGGAAGCTATCAGCAAATTGGGAAGGACCTTATCGTGTCATTCAAGCCTCCCCGTCTGGGAGCTGTCGACTGCAGACAACATATGCCACAGAGACCACTCTTCCTTGATGATAGAACATTCAGAACCTTCGCAGGTTCTATGTCTAAATTATTATATGCTATGTGCTATTTTGCTTGCTCTATGACCTTTTATTTTCACTTCCTTCATATGTAATGCTATCCTGGGTCCCTGGGTAATTGTCAATAAAAGTCATTACATAGTTTTCATACTTTAAATGTGTCGATACTGTTTCATGACTATTCAGCAAGATGGACACCCTCTTTAGGGCCATCCTCGATCGTGCCGTGTATTCAACATCCAGACACATAAACCGAGGACCTTTCCTCGTACCCACCGCAGATCACGGTAATATTTTATCGAAGGACCCTTACCTGGTTCCTCGACAGCGCCGTGTACTTTACATCCGGTCCATAAAGCGCTTATACAAATTGTGACTCGAGCACATTTACTTAATCGATGCTTATACAAGCTTGAAATGAATGTATTACATCACTATACATTTAAATCGTCTAAACAAGCCTGAGGTGAATCTATTACAGCACTATACATTTAAATCTTAAGATTTTTTCCTCCAGGGTTGACTCGGGAAGTCTTAATAACCCCAGAGAACCCGATGGCTCTAAGCTGGTTAATACAATGGCCTAGCTTATCCTTCAAGTCTACAATCTCCCAGTCTTGTTCGTCGATTCTAAGCAGGTATTCCTCAGCAGCGGTCCTTTCTTTCGCCACCTCATTTGGATCAAGATCGTCAAAAATGGGTAGAGCAATTTCATTGTCGACCAATATGTTTTGTAGAACAGCAACCTGTTTCGAATAGAACTCTGCTTCTTTGGTCCTTCTCTTTAAGAGATCAATGGCAGCTATAAAACGCTCTGTCCGGACTTCTATCTGCTTCTCGTCCAAGGTGAGCAGGTCAAATTTCTCGAGGAACCACGGAGATACCGTGATGTTCTCTCGCTTCCTCAGTCGAGCATTTTTGTCCTTCAGCTTTTTCACCTCGTCGCCGATATTCGCCTCCAGAATCAGGGAGTCCTAGAAGTCGAGGTCATACTGATGGAATCGACGTCTCCCCAACTCCTTCTTCTACTTAAAACATCGAACCAAGCGAGGATGTACCTGCACGTTATAAACTTGAATAGCATCCGCAATTTCTTTCTCGAGTGCTCCCACTATGGAAGTATTGTGGACGTTCCCGAATTTTCTTAGGGCCGACAAAATCATGACATGTATAGGGAACTGTCTAATCTCTTCTTCCTCAAGGATCATCAGGTGCACATTATGGACGTAATATGGCTCCTGGAATAATCAGCAAGGAAGCATTAAACATGACAAAAGGAAAAAGAGGAAAAGGTACTCCATAAATCCCAAATTAATAGAGTTTATTCACAAAACACTACATGAAGCTAAGTTCTACAACCCAAGTAGCAAAAACCCTGTTACAAGATAAGGGCCTCATACAGTTTTTGGGTTGGGCGGGACATTTGGTTGGCTCTCGCTGGCTTCCTCTGTAGAATTCTCTGTCGGGGGCACCTCCTTCTCGACAGTCGATTCCTTCTCGACTTCAAGCTCCTTGTCCTCCCCTTCTTCTTCCTCGACCCTTTCTGAGGAGTCTTCATCAGAGACCAGATCGACATCGATAAAATCTTGGTCAAGCTCTGGTATCGCATCTCTTCCCTAGGTTTAGCAGGTAGCACTGTTGGGGCATCTCCTTCGAAGGCGGTGATCTTCGAGAGTGAACCCATTTGGGGGATGGCGCTGCATAGAGGCCCAAACAAAGGGAGCCGCTTCGTGGACAGATGCAACAATCCATTCTGCATTGCTTCGTGAAGGGCCTTTTGAGGGTGAGGCTTCACGAATTGTTCCAGCCAGCCGGCATTGACAGGCTTTCCCGATTCCATTCTCTCCAAAGCAGCAACGGCCAAGCCATGGCCACCCAACGCGATAGCCGCTTCACTGATGCCCACCATGACGTTGGCCATTCTTCTAGTAGGCATCATCCTGATCCAGAAGGCAGTCATTCATTCCTTTCTGCCTTGGGGATATGGGTTTCCCCATATTCTTTGAGCTTGGCCTCAAGATCCCTGTGCATAGCTTGGGCCTTGGCCAGCTCTTCCTCCTTAGCAGCACGAATTAGCTGCTCCTTCTTCCTTGCTTCCTCATGAATCGCCTTCTCATGCTCAAGGAACCCCTTCTCGAGCTCCAGGCTGGAGATCTCCTCCCTCAGCTTCTTCTTGCGCATGAGAATGCTCGCCAGAGAGGTGGTTAGCTGCCAAGATTGCAAACCAGTTATATGCAAGGAATGTGAAAGGCACGTGTGAAGGCAACATTTACCATCTTCAAGACTTCCTCGTCTGTCATGGTTTCAGCCACTTTTTCGATTATGGGCCACTCAATTCTGTCATCCCCAAAGTGAAGTATTGCAGCGGCTGCAGTGTAAGAAGACCCGGAAGATGCGTCGGGGTTCTTAGTAGCATCCTTCCTCCGAGACAGCGACGGCGCCGCAATTGTGAACCAGCTGGGGTCTCGCCCTGTGTTTGGGTTCCCACTTTGCTCCGGAGGGACACCGCTCTCGATAGTCCTATCCCCCTCGACGGGGGAACCCTCCTCGAAAGGCCTGTTTTCCTCGAGAGGAGTGTTGTCCTCGACGGGTCTATCTTTCTCGATCGGGGTAGCATCCTCGGTTGATCCTTCCTTCTCGACTACTGGAGTTTGCTTCTTCTTCTTCTTCAATTTCGTGCGTGCTTCAGACGCTTTTACCAACCTTCTCAGCTTCCTCTTCCTGCTGACTTTGGTGGAGGATCCTTCGTCCTCTGAATTTTTAATATAAAAAATCTTGGCGTCACCAAACAAGCCAACAGTGTTCTTGCTCGACGACATAGCCTAGAAAAAAAATAAACAAGAGAAGTGAGTACCTTTTTCATCCACGACAGGAATCGGGGGAATATACTGCTGCACTTTTACCCAATTGAGATAATTCTCGAAGGATTCTAGAGCAGTAATGTCGTCCCTATGTCGCTCGATCCTGGCCTTGTCAGATTTAGACCAGACATCACTATAACGCCCATCTCCTAGGATTCACGGTGATCCCAGGTCATGCGAAACTCCTCTGGAGCCTGTAGAAACAAGTAATTTGGTTTCCACATTGGAGAACCGTCGAAGAGTTCTATTATCTGCTTCGCGCCCGACGTAGGATTCCTCTTGATGTTGTACCAGTCCTTGTATTCCGTCGAGGGAACACAAACTTTGAAAAAATACCTACTAGTAATCGAGTTACAACCTTCTTCAACTCACAAAGCCTCGCAAACCCGAGGACTGCCGATATCAAGTTCGGTGCAAATCGAGCAAGGGGAATCTGGTAATATTGAACTATTTTCCCGAATAGGGGGTATAAGAGAAATCTTAGCCCTAAGAACATAAACCTATCATATATGGTTATTTTCCCCTCTGGAAGTGTAGTAGCCCTTTCTGTGCCTAAGGGTACTCGATAATCTAGATCTACGGGGAAATCGTATTTTCTGGCTATGGCCTGGGCTTTATCAGCAGAGTTTATGGTGGAAGCGAAGTCGGAAACTGTACATGCAGCCATATCTACCACAGTATATGCTAAGGCAATAAGATTCAAAAAAAAAAAAAAAAACAGTACACACTAATAACAAGAGGGTTGAACTCACTTTTATTAGAATCTGAGGGTTGACCTTTTGGATGATATTCGTCTGGGATAGTGAGGCTTCGCGGTTATAGCAGGTGCTGCGATTTCTGGCGGCAGAACGAGTAGGTAGCAACAGATGATGCGTAGGGGTAGGAGAGGTGCTTCTGTGTTTTCAGTCTCAGAGTTTTGAAAAAAGGAGAAGAAAGAAAAGCCCTTAGTTTCTTTCTTGATATAAACGAATTTCTCTCCCACGTTTCGACAGTTTGGGCGGGATTCAAGGGCAGTAATGATGGCACGGCCGTCGTTTGGAAAACGTGCACATTATCAGGGCACGATTTCGGTTTAAGCGGGATTTCTGAATCAGGTCACCTTCTCTGTTCGGACCTTAACCTGCGAATAATTCATTTGATCCATTTTGTACCCATTGGGCTGAGACTTGTCCAATCAGTCTTGCTTCACACAACTTGGGCCGAGTCCAGGTATTACTTATTTTATGTCAAGTCTTGTTTATTTCATACAATCAACACTTAACAGGGGCAATTGACGAGTATATATCTACCAAGGATTACGGGACCGGCCCATCCACCAATTAAGGCTTAACCGACCTTGTAGGAGCGGTTCGGGAATATGCATTCTAATGGGATCCAGCTTCCTTAAAGGTAATTCCATACCTATAAATAGGATTGGTCTCACTATAATTGAGATACGCTATCTTAGACACCAATTCATATACGCAGACTATTTCGCAATCCTATTTTCTGACTTATGTTTCGAAGTGTCTACCCTTGCAGACAATTTGTTTATGAACGAATGGTAAACTTAAGTCGAGAAATTCTATCTCAAAAAAGAAAAAAAAAAGAAAAAAAATCCAACAGAAAAGGTTTTCGTATATAACCGTGATTTCCGAAAACATGAAACTTTTTAACTGAATTTTATCAGGTACAAAGAACAAAAATGCTCATGATTAAACATATAGCATAAATTCTAGCTATGTACAAGTGGAATTTATTGTCTTTTTTTTTCACCATGCAGTCCATGCTACTGCCTTGGTGAGCTCAAAAGAAAAATTAACTAGATTTTCCGCAAATCAAAAATATTGGAACAAAATCTGGTTCCAAACATCCTGGACACCAGGTAAACACCAGTGCAAACAATCAGAGTAATCTGCCGGATTAGCCTGTGGGTTCAATTTCTCCCAGAATTTGCGGTAACTGCTCGGATGTCCATCTTTCCGGTAATCTGCAAGCTGCGTGATGTTGAGGATTTGAATCTTAGGGTTCATCTTTCTAACTACCTTGTTCACTATCTCCATCGTTGGCAAGTGAATTCCACTCTTGAAATGACTCTTTAAAATAGGCAGTGTTTCGCCGTAACAGTTGCCTTCATTTGCTGGATCCCATCTTTCCTTCCTGGAAAACAATCGCAACCAAAACAAGGACTCTTTGTCAATCTGGAGGAGATTATTTTTGTAGTGTTGCAAATGGTGATAATGGCCTTATCAGCGACTCTAAAATCATTGCAGAAGGAAAGTAACAGATTAAGTTAACCTCAAAGCCTCAAAAGTTCCACTTCAAAGTTTTCGTCACTTTTATCAGATACCCAGTGATCATTAAAGTATTTCGATCAGATCATCAGACCTCATACTTGGACACTGATTATTTCCATTACTAGGTGTTTATGAACTGGTTCAACAACTCAAAAACATTCACATATCCAGCAACAAAAACCATAACACAAAGGTCTATTACACACATCACACGGACCTTAGGTACTAAACAAAAAGCCAATTACTTACTCGTAATGAGTAGGGGACATGGTCATGAAAAATGCACGCTTGTTCGTGTAATCAAAATTTAAAGCCATCCAATTTGTTAATGCCTCCAAGGCCAACTCCATCCCGCCCATTCCACCAATTTCTTCACAGGCTCCACTCTCTCCGTCGCTCCATCTGCATATTGGGCAACAACAACAACATGGTGTTTTTACATTTCCACTTCAGTATGAAGCAAAAAAACAAACACCCATCCATAGGAATACATGTTTTACTCTTGAGCTCTCCTTTTAATGTCTTCCATTACTGGAAAAAGCAAAATTCTAAAATAAAATCCTACTTACGATATGTTAACAGGGCCCTGTGTCCACCAAACATATGAATTGAAGACCACAATGTCAGCGTTCTTCCATTGGGATGAATGCCGAAGTGTAGAATCTGGACGTATTATTCTTTGAGGTACTCTGTGCTCAACTGGATGGTCTGAATTTGATTCTACGAGAAGAGGTGCCCACAGAAACTCAATGCTGGAATTGTATTCCTGCATCATTCGTCACATCAGGCCAGTATGTCTGAAAAATCTCAAGGCATTAAAGACTTCATCAAACTATTGGTACTCGATCTAAACATCAAGCAGAACCAAAAAATGTCTTTCATCACATCTATAAGTGTAGTCTATGACAAAAGTAATTCATCGATGAAGACAGGTTTAATCATAACAAGGTGCCCCTTTCCATTAATTTGGGTATTGAAACTTGAACCCACATGCATTGATTCCATCATGTGATGAGTTATATACAACATATTCATAGATGTCCAATTGTGCTTTAAACTAATGACTTCTGTCAAACCATGTAGGATGAATACATCATTAAGAACTGGATTATTTACCTCTGCGTGAAAAGATGAAAGGTGGGCCTGCGGTGTCATCAAGCGTTTATCAGCTGGAATGACCATCTGTAACAAGCACACCATAGATAGCCATTGACCTCTGTTCAGGGAATCTCCCACAAACATTAGTCTTTTCCCTCTCAACTTCTCCCACATCTCTGTCGCATTCCACCTAAAAACATATTTGACGGTCAGGATCGCAATCTGGACAATTTATCAGAACATCCAACATTTTTGCACTATGAATGTGATTTACATACGCTACGTTTACATTAGAAAATAAATGTAAAGAATCCAGCAATTAGATTGATCGTCGTTCTATCAAATGTTAACAATGACCAAATAATTTCGACTGAGTTACCATAGAAACAGCTTATAAATTGGACTAAACCATACTATAGCAATATGAAACTCGAAATGACACATCAATTAATCAATTATGAACCAAACAAACAGTAGGAACATTTATGTCTATGAACAAATCACTTCAAAATTATGAATGAATCACATTTTTCATGTTTCACAAAGTTCACCATGGACTCTTTGATACTTGACTGATCCATTCTGCTCCACAGGCACCAAGAAATTGAACAGTATGCCAAAATTGACAGAAAACCAGAACAAATTCTTTCTTAGAAACAGAGAAGAACCTAGTTTTCCATGCATTTAATCAGAGTACCTCTTCAAATTGCAATTATGAGGCTGCCATCTCCAATGTTGGTACTCAGAATCCGGCCTACCATGCTTCAGGCAAGCCAATTGATCCGACATGTATGGACAATCTTGCCAATTATACAGCGGATAAGAAGTATTATCATATACCCATCTCCCAGAAAAGAAGTCACATTCCTCCCCTTCTCTCTCTTCTTCTTCTTCTCCGTTGAACCCGCCATCTCCAGGATCCTCCCTTCTGGTACTAATAGCATCATTCCCCAGCACTCTTCTTCCTGTGTACTCCTTTGTCCAAGTGCACGTGCTAGACTTGTCCAGAGGCTCTAATTTCACATTTCAACAAAATTACAAAATATTAAGAAGGAACAGAATATTCATGGTCAGTTTGAATTGTCAATTCAATCAATTCAAGAAAACTTAATCCTAAACAGAGGTACAAAAACGGAAAGATCCCAGTAAAAGAAAAGGAAAGCAAAGAAGTTCCTCCATAAATTGAATTAGCACATTGATCCTTCACCGTCTAAATTCTAAACCAACTATAATGCTGAATTCAATAAGATTAAAAACCCAGAAAATGCAATTACGCTTGATTAAAGAGGCCCATCAAGATAGATGGCAAAAAGGTTTCAGATCACTTACCAAGAGGAGCTCTTGAAGTTTGAGGAAGAAGGGTTTGCTTCACTAAAGCAGCAGGTTGGGGAAAATTGTCCTCTTCTCCTTCTTCATCATCATCAGTACCTTTGGAAATCCCTTCTTCTGAAGACAATTTCTGCTGAACTTTAGCAACTCCATCACCACCAATCACATCGTCTTCATTCAGTAGCGGCTGTTTTTGCTGTTGTTTCTGGATGTTGATTTCGTTGTAGAAGAATGAGAAGATGATGAAGACTAACAGCATAAAAGCCACTTGAAGTGGGAAATGGCTCCTCATCTTCTTACTGTTCCCATTCTGCAACATTACTACTTCTTCTTAAACAAAGAATTAAGATGAAAATGATGGTGGAGTCTTTTTGCTTCTAAAAAATTTGCTGCAAGAGTTAGAGATGGAGAGAAATTATATAAAAAAATTTAAAGAATCATTCTGCTGACAGTGAAAATCATCAACAAACAGACATGCTTTTTATTACATTGATTTGCTATTAGGTTGTGTGGGCCCACCTTTTCATTCATCGTCACTGTCACACTGTGTGACTGTGTGTGACTGGGTTACTATCAAGAAATCATTATTATCTAGAATTATTACTACTACCAAAGACAGAATTATTTGCTTTTGTTGCGTTTTTTTCTTTTCTTGGAAGAAACAAGGTAGAGATTCTTTTGGTTTTGAGCACTATTGAAAAATCAAGAGTACATTTTGCACAATAAATTAATGTGAGATTTATGCATTAGTGACCTTCGAGTACGTGTTTCAAAGTTTAGCGAACAAACGAGAATACATATTGAAAAATAAGAAAAAAAAAATTTTTGGCGAGAAGAAAATTCTATTATTGAGGAATGCAACTACTTATTCGATCGGTTTCTTTCCATTTACAAGATTCGTCTAATTGTTTGGTATCATTATGTTGCCATAATCTTATATACATGCTCATGTAGTGTAGATATGTATACTTTGAGATTTTGCTTCTATTATCTGCTAAAGAAAATAAGTTGTTCATAAAGGAAAATGACATCTTTCTTTCGAAATGATGAGGGATTTTATGTTTGAATGAATGCTCATATTGAACACATGATCTATTTCTGAAACACAAAAGTGGAAACACAGGCCAGAAAGTAAAACAAATTGTATTGTGTTGGATTTGGATTGACAGTTATGAATTTTTTGACATATATATAAATTTAAAAGGCAAAGGAAACATTCACTAAAAAAACGTGAATTTTTCAATAAAATTTCCATTTCTAGCAATCGAATTTTTGGTATTAAAAAATTTTTCTCGAAATTATTTGGATCATTTTTTACCATTGCAAGGATTTATTTTTGGAGAATGATAAAATAAAATACATTAATGTGGGTGGGAGATTGGGTAGGATGATTAGAATTAGGAAGGTAATGGTTATTACTAAGAGATCAAGGGTTCAATTCTTACAATACATCATTCAATTTAAAAATAAAATAAAATCCATTAATGTTCGCTATATTCTCATTTTACTATTTAATTACAAATCTATTGCATATACATAAAATGCATTAATGTTGCAAAAACCGTGCCAACATACGGGCCAAGAAACTGCTAAGAACACAACTTATCATGAAAAACTATTTTTCTTGTTTTAATTTATGCTTTTGTTTATTGTTTATTTCCCAGTTTTTCTCAAGATTTTAAGGTTTATTATACCAAAACCTTGCATTCAGGCCACTTCTTCTGAACATCTTATTCAATTAACAGGACAATCCGGTTGTTGTAAACAAATCTCTACTAGTTAGTTGTGGTTAAAGCCTTTTGGTTGAACATGGCTCTTTTATGATAATACACAATCGTTTTGAGTGTTTAATGTGAATTGGTCATCATAAATTTGAAGTAAACGGTCATACATTTTTATACGTTAGTTGAGAGAAAGAGAACCAACTAATACTTAGAATAGGGAAATTGTATTGGATTCATGATGTGTTATGCATGATATACAGACTATATATAGACAATAACAAACCCTAAACTAGGACATTATAGGAAATATACTAAATATTACAATACGCCCTCGCAAACTTACGGCGGAGAAGAGAGAAGCCGAAGTTTGTCCCGGAATCGAAAGAATTAACTCTTTGGACAAGGGTTTTGTCAGAATATCAGTAAGCTAATCAGCAGCAGAGATAGAATTGACCGAAACAAACTTTTGCCGAACATGATCTCGAACAAAGTAAAAATCAACCTCAACATGTCTAGTACGAGCATGGAACACAGGATTGACAGCAAGAAAAACTGCACTACTGTTGTCACACCAAATAGAGGGAGGGCGATGTAAAGAAACGCCTAACTCGGACAACAGATGACACACCCAATGCAGTTCAACACAAACATTAGCAACCGCACGAAACTCAGCCTCAGTAGACGACCGAGCCACAATGGACTGCTTCCTAGATGCCCAGGCAATGAGATTAGGTCCTAAATAAATGAGAAAACCAGTAGTAGAACGACGATCATCCGGACAACCAGCCCAGTCAGCATCACTAAACGCAGTAAGAGTACCCAAATTTGTAGGATACAGAACTAAACAGCAATCAACGGTACCACGAAGATAGCGAAAAACCCGTTTGAGAGCCTGAAAATGAGAAGTGCGAGGCTGATGCATGAACTGACAGAGCTTATTAACCGCAAAGGAGATATCTGGACGAGTGAGAGTGGTATACTGCAAACTGCCACATAGCCGACGATAAGTAGTCGCATCATCAGGAGAGAGTAGAGTACCATCCAAACGAGACAATACAACATTAGCTTGCAAAGGAGTGGAAATAGGTTTGCAAGTATGCATATTTGCAAGTCGTAGCAAATCAGTGACATACTTGCGCTGAGAAAGAAGCAAACCCTTGGAAGTACGACGAACCTCGACCCAACGAAAGTAACTCAACGGACCTAGATCCCGAAGAGAAAACTTCTTAGCAAGACAGGAGATAAAATGGTGGACCAAACCAGAAGTGCTGTCTGTAAGAATAATATCATCAACATAGACCAACAAAAAACACAACTGAGACCCACGGCGATAGACAAAGAGGGAAGGATCACAACGAGACTCCACAAAATCCAAGGTAAGCAGAAATGCAGCCAGACAAGAATACCAGGCCCGAGGAGTTTGCTTAAGACCATATAATCACTTATGCAGTTTACACACATAATGAGGGCGCACCGGATCAACAAATCCCTATGGCTGAATCATATACACAATCTCACTCAGAACACCATTAAGAAAGGCATTACTGACATCAAGCTGAGAAATCGACCATCCACGAGCTAGAGCAACAGTCAAAACCAAGCGAATGGTGACCGGCTTAACAACCGGACTAAATGTGTCAGTGTAATCAACCCCAAAAGACTGAGTAAAACCTCGAGCCATCAACCGAGCCTTATAACGCTCAATGGAGCCATCAGCATGGGTCTTAATCTTATAGAGCCATCGATTGCCGACAACATTGCCGGAGGAAGGAGGGGGTACTAAAGTCCATGTGTTATTTTTGAGGAGGGCAGAAATTTCCTCCTTCATAGCATTCTGCCACTGAGAAAAGGATTTGGCTTGGGTGAAGGATGTAGGAGCAGTAGACAAAGCTGGGGACACAGAGGTAAGATGAGCCGAGGGATCAAAGATTTTCTTGGGCTTGGGTTGTGGACGAAGTGTCATTGAGTTCTGACGGGAAGAAGGAGGAGGAGGTGGCGGCGGAGGACTGGAATCAGAGGATGAAGAGCTGGATGTAGGAGAACCAGCTAAAGATGATGAGTCGGGAGGGATAGGAGTAGACGAAAGAACTGGTGCACGAGAAGGAGATGAGAAAGACGCAGAAGACAACGCAAGCATACCAGGAGAACTGGTGACACGCAACCAAGGGGTAGCAGGAGACTCCGGCAGCGAAGAAGGAGAACTAGAAAGGACGTTTAAGGGGAAAGAGGTTCTCATCAAACTCAACATGACGAGCAACATAGAGACAGTTATTCACCACATCAAAGCAGCGGTAACCAAGATGAGATGGAGAATACCCAAGAAAGACACACTGAGTAGAACAAAAGGAGAATTTATGTTTATTATAAGGGCGAAGAAGAGGATAGACAGCGCAACCAAAGACACGAAAAAAGGCATAATCAGGTGGCTGGTGATATAGTGTAGTGAAGGGTAGGTGACCTTGAAGAGGTTTACTAGGGTGTCGATTAATCAAAAACACAGCGGTTTCAAAAGCAAAATCCCAAAACCGAAAAGGGGTACTGGAATGGCCAAGGAGAGCAAGTCCAATGTCGACAATGTGACGAATTTTGCGTTCAGCAGTGGCATTCTGCTCATGAGTGTGTGGGCACGCTAAATGATGAACAATACCGACATCCTTAAAGAAAGAATTGAGAGAACGAAATTCACCACCCCAATCAGAGTTAACCCTTTTAATGGTAGTGCCAAATTGATTTTCTACGAGAGTTTTGAATTGCTTGAAAACATGGACAACATCCCTTTTATATTTAATGGGATAAATCCATGTGAATAAAGAGAAGTCATCAATAAAAAGCACAAAATAGTGATAACCATTGAATGACAAAATAGGAGCAGGGCCCCAAACATCAGTGTGAATTAAATCAAGAGGTTTAGAGCTACGACGAAAGGTAGAAGGTAAACTAACCCTATGCAACTTTCCTAAACAACACGCCTCACATTTATCAATGGACGTGGACACAGAGAAATGAGGGAGTTGAAACTGCCTAACCAAAGTACGAAGAGTGACATTATTAGGGTGCCCTAAACGAGCATGCCATTGACCTAAGGAGACAAGATAAGCTGCTGGAAACAAGGAACCACGAGCAGGAAGATCTAAGCGATAGAGACCATTATCAGCCCGACTGCGGAGGAGGAGTTGCTTGGTTGAAAGATCCTTAACACAACAAGAGTCAAGATAAAATTCAAAGAAACAATGATTATCACGGGTAAATTTTTGAACAGATAACAGAGGCTTAGTAAGAGAAGGAGCATGCAAGACACGATTTAAATAAAGAGGAGGAGAAAACGATGGCAAAACAGATTGACCAACATGCTGAATAGGTAAAGCATCTCCATTACCAACTAAAATATGATCCATACCATTATAATCATTGGAGATACTGAGAGAGGACAAATCTGGCGTGACATGATCGGTAGCACCAGTGTCCGGATGCCAGGGAGGGACAGAAGGGGCATACTGCGCCATATAGGCTTGAGGAGACATAGTCGACTCCGGGTAAGACGGAAGAGGCAACAAACCAGCCGAATGCGGTGCAGGAGAAACTGCCTGGGCATAAG